AGCGCCTTAGTTTTACCTCGATACTCATTGGACATTTGACACATAGGATGGTGCTCTCACGTCCTTATGGGCAGCATAATGCTGAAAGTGCTAGGCAAGCAATACCGTGAGGGTCAAACCCTTCCTTAAACGTCTTAGAAATGGCGAGTGCTAGCTAGTTGGCACACTCTGCCTTCACGTCCCCTTCTTATACAAAACAAAATTGCTTAGCGTTTATTAGTGATTCATCTGAGCGGTGTATGGTCCAGTTTCTCTGCTGATCAAATTGCTTTTGGTTGTAAGGGCATTGGTGTTGTGCCATTGTGTTACAGAATTTTTTAAAGATTATCACTCTCTTGGGCAACAAGACTATTGCGGACCACAACAGTTTGTACTTTTTCAGTTATTAGGAGACATACTGCTCAGATTGAGGAGAACATTTAGATGATCACTCCCCTGTTCGCATGAATGTAAGTTGAGCATCAAACAGATTATGCAAGCAAAATACTGGCATTGCAAATAGGTAATAAAAACTACCTTTTGAATTTCAGGAGTTTTAATAGGCACGTGATGGACTTTCTGTTCGGCTTCATCCGGCAGCTCTCTGGTGCTCGCTGTGGAATGTCCCTGATAAAAGATTTAGATTGTAAGGATCCTCAATAACCTACACTTATCATATATTTACCTGCTGCTCTATTGGCGGAACAATAACAGGAGGAGAAAATTGACCGCTTATTGGAAAAGACTGCTGTGTAACTGTGGCCTCCGGTCCAATGTCAGTTCCAAAGTCGTACTCTTTGCAGAGATCCTGGATGTCAATTAATCAAAGGAGTGGTCATAGGTTTGAGGGTTAGTTTGTTTTTTTAATTCATATTACATTTTACCTATACATACTACATACTAGATGCAGCGTACACTACATTATTTAGCACTATTTCGCTATAGCAGCATTTTTATATAGAAAGACAGAGGTAATAACGTGTGTTCAGTTAAAATTACTGCTTGCTCACTCTTATTTAGTTCTTAACAACATTACATTTAAATATGAGCGGAATTTGACCACTGGCGCCTAATTTCATAAAAAGTTTAATTAAGTCAAGCTAATAACCTTGATCTTGAATAAGCAACGACCAGGCAACTGATATCTGACCCCTAGCTCCTACTCTTAACTAATTAAGTTTAAATGGATATTTTTTCGATGACAAATAAATGTAAAATGACCGTTAACCTGAAATCGATATGGCAAAAGTGATGGTTGTCAAAATTTTGACGTTCCGCAACGAGCAGAATTTTCAAGCTACCAAAAATATAGCGAAAGGCAAGGTTTATAAGGTTTGAAACATTGATACACAAGTCAACTATAATCAACGTCATTC